TATTTACCTACCTTGTCTTTTGTTGCTCATGCTTTTGCTGTCAGATCTAAGAATCCATTTTTAAATACTAAGTCCTGAAGAATTACCCCTATGATTTCTTCTAAGAGTTTTATGGCTGTAGTTCTTACATTTAGGTCCTTGACCAATTTTGAGTTGATTTACATACATGGTGTAAGGCATGGGTCCAGCTTTATTTTGTACATGGAAATACAGTTGTCCCAGCACCACTTATTAAAGAGAATACACAGTGGTTAAAGTGATCAACTGTTAACCGAAAGGTCTGCAGTTTTACTTCCAGATTCTCAATTCTATTCCATTTGTCGATATGTCTATCATTATACCAGTACTAGACTGTTCTGGTAACTGTAGCTGTATAGTACGTTTTGAGATCAGGAAGTGTGAGTTTTTCTACTTTGTTCTTCAAGATTGCTTTTGCTATTGAGGGCCCCTTACAGTTTCATATAAATTTGAGGGCTGGCTTTCTGTTTCTGCAAAAGCCAGAAATGGCTCTTGGAATTTTGATGGGGACTGCATTGAATCTAGAGAATGCATTGGGTAGCACTGACATCTTAACAATTGGTTTTCCAATCCATGAACCCAGAATGTGCTTCATTTATTTAGGTCTTCTTTAATTTCCTTCAGTAATGATTTAAAGTTTCCAGTGCACAAGTCTTTCACTCCTTTGGTTAAACTTATTCCTACGTATTTTATTATAGGGTTGCTAGGAGTCGGAATTGACTTGATGACAACAGGTTTGGTTTTTTTGGTGTATTTTATTCTTTCAGATGCTATTGTAAATGGATTGTTTCCTTAACTTCCTTTTCAGAATGCTCACTGCTGATATCTAGAAACCCAAATGATTTTTATGTTTTAACCTTGTATCATGCCACTTTGATAAATTACCATATTTTTAGGCAAATAAGGCTCACCTTCTACGTTTGTTTGCCAACTGCGTCCTCCCCCTGCAACATATTTTTATAAGCATGCTACACTATTTTTTTTTTACAGCAACATGTAGAAGAAACTGGCATAGCAGCACTTACAAAAATACCTCGTGGGAGGAGGGTGCAGTTGGCAAACAAACGTAGAAGGTGTACACTGTCTGCGTAAAAATACAGTAGTTTATTAACTAATAGTTTTCTTATGGATTGTTTAGGGCTTTCTATACACAGATTCATAACATCAGTGAAAAGAGATAGGTTTACTTTTTCTTCTCAATTTGGATACCTTTTATTTCTTTTTCTTGTTCTGTTAGGGATTCCAGTACAGTACTAAATAACAGTGGTGAGAGTAGGCGTCGTTGTCTTGTTCCTGAACTTAACAGGAAAGCTCTGTCTTTTCCCATTGAGTGTGATGTTAGCAGTGGGTTTTTCAAAATGTCCATTATCAGACTAGGAATTCCCCTTCTATTCCTATCTTGCTAAGTGTTATCATGAAAGGATGCTGGATTTTGTCACATATCTTACCTGCATCAACTGAGATGATCGTGTGGTTCTTTTCCTTTGCTTTATTAATGTAGTGTGTTTACGATGACTGATTTTTCTAATGTTGAGCCACCCTTGCAATCCTGGGATAAATTCCACTTGATCAGAGTGTATAATCCTTTTAAGATGCTTTTAGATTCAAGTTGCTGGTATTCTGTCATCTATATTCATAAGGGATAATGGTCTGCAGTTTTCTTGTGGTGTCTTTATCTGGCTTTGGTATTGAGATAATGCTATCGTTGTTGTTAGGTGCCATCAAATCGACTTTTGATTCATAGTGACCCCATGTGACAGAGTAGAACTTTCCCATAAGGTTTCCTAGCCTGTAATCTTTACGGGAGTAGATCAACAGGTCTTCCTCCTGCAGAGCTGCTGGGTGAGTTTGAACCGACAACCCTTTGGTTAGCAGCTGAGCACTTAACCATTGCACCACCAGGGCTCCTTGGGTAATGCTAGCCTCACAAAATGAGTTAGAAAGTGTTCCTCCATTTAAGAAGAACTGGGGTCACTTCTTCTATAAATGTTTGGCGGAATTCCCCAG